ATTATACAAATATAAATAATATTTTTAATATTAAGTACAATACACAAAAATAATTCTATATTTCTTTGTTTGACGGATGGAGCATTATTTATATGTGTATTTAAAAATTACATAAAAATATATCTTATAATTAATGCATATATATAATCTTCGTCTAATCTCATTTAAAATATAAATAAAAATTGATCTTATCCATTTAACAATTTATGCTGACATTGTAGATATAGATAGAATATTGACACAATCAATATAAACATAATGACTGTTTTTTTTCTTTGTAAATCAACATATCAATAAACTATACTACAAATATATATATTTAATATAATTATTACTCTTTTTATCGTTCAATTGTATGCTCATTTGATTATAAATAAAATTTTGAAAAAATAAGTAAAAATAAAAATTTTGGTTTGAGTTAAAAGAAAAAAAAATTATATTTTTTCACTAAAGAAAATGAGATTAAACTTATAAAGATGAAATAAAAAAATACATAATACTAAATGTAAATGATAGAGAAAGTATTATACTCCCTCCGTCCTATAACTATGTATCCATTTATTTTTTGCACGAAATTTTAGAAATATTAGTATTATATTAGGATGTAGTAGGAATAAAGTAGAATTGACTAAAATAACCTTATTAGTATTGTGGGATATAAATGTAATGACATTTGTGTAATATATTGTAAGTTGTAAGGGTATTTGTAATGTTAGATATATAGTACAATTACTAGAAAAAGAATTTGATACTTTGTGACGAGACATACTAAAATGAAAAAATGAATACTTTGTTATTGGACGAAGTGAGTATTATAATTAAACATGGCTGTATTTGTTATTGTCAGATGAATCATCCACAGCTAATTTACAAAATATGTCCGTAGTACTTACTAAATATGGGCATTTTTCATCAAATTTAAGCTATGTTTACACACTACATTTTTACTCACCTGACATTATTCATTTTTCAAGGAACATCACATCAAATACATTTGATCTTTCACAAAACATCAAATCAAATACTAACTTTTTTACTTTTTCTAAACTTTCAAATTTCCAAAAATCTTCAAAAAATCCTATCTAAACAAACCCTAAAGTCTTTGTTATTTATTTATTTTATCTTTTTAGATATGTTTTTATTTTATTTTTTTATTTTTTTATCAGAATCTTTTTTGACATGTTTGCACAAGTCTTAGGTGCTTGAATGTTGATATTTAGTGGATATATGATAAAAATGTATGTAATAATTGATCTTAGTACAAGACTTGTATATTAGCATAAAATAAATATTGACAATGCATATTAAAAATTCATATAAAATATGACAGTGTTAATATCATGACATGACTTATGTTAATATAGCATAATAATACATAATATGAAGTGAAATACATTCTCAAAATCCATACAATATATGCTATCTAGCCTTAATGACTCCCTTGACCATCCCCAATTTTAATTTTTATTTTTACCAAATATTATTGAAATTGTAAAATAAGAAATATTTTGGTCTTACAACGAAACCAACAAATACTTTTTACCTAAAACTAAACACCCTATAAAATTGAAACAAAAAGCATTTAATAAACGACTTTTTCTATATATATATAAAAAAAAATAGATGTTGTGTTCACACAAATAATTTTTTTAAATAATACGATTCTTAATATATATTCCCTCCGTCTAAGCTAAAAGTATACAATTACTTTTGACGCGGAGATTAAGAAATAATAGTATTTTAATTATAGTGGGTAGGTAAAAGTAGTAAAATGACATTTTTGCCCTTAATTTTTTTGGTATAAAAGTAAGGATGTGATATAAAGCAGGGGTATTTGTGGAAAAAATAGGGTATTTAATGAAATGGTTACTTTGTAGTTGGACGTCCTAAAATAGAAATATGTATATTTTTTAACTGGACGGAGGGAGTATAATATTTATATTTTATTTTTTACAAAAATGATTAGACCATATAAACTATAAATATTTTTTCTTGAATAAAAGGATATATTACTCGATCTATTTCTGTATCACTCATTATATATATCATAACTTAGGCATCTATTTCAAACTCATATTCCGTTTTTGTGCAGCAAAGTTATGAAAATTCACGAAAAATAACTGAGCGCACTGTATGTACAAATTGTCATTTAGCTAATAAGCCCATAAATATTGAGATTTTATGTAAAAACATATCAAAAATTTTATATAAAAATACCATATCCAACAATCATATCACTCAAAACATAAAATACAAATATCGTAAAAATTGACCTGGTGGTATAAGAGTAAACTTGTAATTGTAAAGTCATGAATTTAAACCACTGACCCCCTTGCTTAGTTTTTAATAAAATATTTTTTCAATGAGTGTATAATGTAAAGATATTATTAAAATATTTTATAAAATAAAATAATATTATATTTTTATTAAAGTTCGTACCAATTAAATAGAATCTCCTTCACTTTGCATCCCGATTCAGATTAACTTTAAATTGAAATATTTCTTTCGTCCTATTTTTTTTTGTATATTATTATTATTATTTTTTGTCTCACTTTATTTGTCATTTTTTAAATATAATTATAAATTTTGATTACATTTTAATTTTTTAATCTTAATTATATTATTTAATTATTTTAATTTTAATTTATAATTAATTTTATTTAAAATAATTATTTTTATTAATATATTTTTTAATTATTTATTAATAATAATTTAACTAAATTTTCGTATCTACATTGAATAATAATCTCAAACTAGGAATGTAGGATCTTCTGATGCCACCCACGTAGGTAACCAAAAATTACAGATTCCGTCCCGATTCATTCCGGCGAGTGGAGTATTAATATTTAGTAATGTACCTGACCAAAATGGACTGTTATATTCATAATAAATTTGGAAATAATATATTTTAAAAATAATTAAAACCATACACCATCCGTTCTTACCTTTAAAATTATATTTATATTTTGCATTATTATATTTTTATATTTATATAATTTTTTTATATAAATATTATTCTATTTATATTATAAAATACTAATTAAATATTTTTATTTCTTTTTTCATTTTTACTACGGATATAATAATTAATATTACGGATAAAAAAAATAAATGTAACATTTAAGCCTGAGTAAAATAGTGTCAGATTTACACATCACAACTTTGAATGTATTCTTTTATAATTTTTTCCAATTATTTTATTTTATTTATTAAATAAATAAATCAAGACAGTTTATATAAAATACTAGTTGGAATGATTTTTTATTAAAAAAAAAATACATAAAAATACTCCCTCAATTTCATCTAAGTCTATGTATACTATTTTTATCCAACTTAAATTGTCTCATTTTATTTAAACAAAGTGTTTAGGTATAATTTAATTAGTAAGTAATTAATAAATATATTAATAAAAATAATTATAAATTAATTATAATAAAAAAACTTAAAATATTTAAAATATATATTTTAATTTTTTTAATAATATATATTAATTTTTATTTAAAATATATCGACACCCCTAAGTCCACTACTCAATACAAAATAAATATATGAATATTAAAATTAACTCGTGCCACAAATTAAAAGACATAATAAATAAGACTAATTTTATTTTTGTCTGTCACATAACAAATACAACATTTATAATTTGGTATATTTTACTAATTTAATATATGTTTAACAAATATAGATAAATTTAATTAACATTATAACGTATAACGTCATACTAAAAATAATGTACGACTACTCAAAATTCATTTATTTTTATATTTATCTCAATAAACAAATATTTTTATATATTTTTTAAAACATCTAACTTTTATAAAATAGATTTATATTAATTATATATTTATTTACATTATATAAAATTTTCTTTTTTACAAAATAATATTTATATTACATATATTTTATTAAGATATAATTTTAAAAAAATTAATTTTAAATTTATTTATTTATATATATTATTTATTATTTGAAAATTATTAAATTAGTTTTTACATAAATAAAACATAAAAAATAATATTATAATATATTATTAATTAATTAATTAAATATTATTATTTTGAAAATCATGTCCACAATCGCAAGTATCAATTCAAAATGAAAGAGAGTAGACTAGGAAAAATAACTCTTTGTATGAAATATCACGTGGTTACCATAAAAATCTTACCATTCTTTAAATAAAAAACAAGAAAAGAATAATCAATAAGGTGACGTGTACACACGTCTTTTCGTAAGTAATAATTTTCATTTTTTTTTTTAAATTTTCAAATATTTTATTTCTTTTATTTGATTAAAATTTTTTGGGTACATTCAATACCATAAAAAATTGCACAAAATACCTTATATTTTATTTATTATGTGAAATTTTTCTATGTTAATATAAATTTGCACGAAATACCCTCATTGTTCAAAATTGATATTTAATTCTAAACAAAAATTTAAATTAAACAATTTTTATACAAATAAAAAAAACAAAATATTTTAAATAATTTTTTTAATAAATAAATAAATAGTTGATTAATCCTTCCTTTTATAATTTTTGAAAACAAATTATTATATAATTTTTATAAAAATTACAAAAATAAATGATTAATCAATTATTTATTTATTTATTTTATTCAAAACAGTTATTTAAAATATTTTACTTTTTTATTTGTAACACACTTGCTTATTAATTTAAATTTTTATTTAGAATTCAACATAAAAAATGATATTTCAAGCAAATTTTATATTAATATAGAGAGTTTATATTTTATATATTTTTATTAAAATACAAAGGAGTGTGTTATATAATTTACACTCATTTTTTTTACTGTTGTAATAATTAACTGTCAAAAATTGGTGATACTCCTAAGTCTCACCGACTACGATCAATCTAGACCGTCCATTTAACTCGGTGACCACTCATCAACGGTTCAAGAGTCGCCATAGTAACCCACCCGAAGGTCCCAACTACCTACCTACTCAACCTTTCGCCCCCACCGACGGGAAAATACTCCACTCTATCCGTGTGTGATTCCGCAGTTTCACGACAACCCATCTATAAATACGGCCCCTCAATCGGTGGCCAACACTTGCGAGCTTTTGGCATACCCTAAGGACCTAAACTATCGGCGGAAAAGGGGAGAGGGAAATCTTTCTTGTCGGCAGTTGGGTTCTTCTCTGAAGGTGCGTATTCTCTTCAGCACATCTCTGCACTTTATATATATACATATATATATTTTGTGTTGTTGGTGGTTCTGCTTCTATCTGAAAAGATTTGGAGTTTTCTGTAGTTAGATTTCCTTTTGCGGTATGTCGGCAGAGAGCTGATCTATTGTTTTTGGTTTAATTTGTTGTACGCCGTAGTGTAATTAGTTGATGATTGTTCGATTTGTTTGGGTTGAATCGTCACTTACGTAATGGGGAATCCGTGGTGGTGATGTTAAATCGTTGGTATTACGTCGGTTCTGACGGTATTCTGGTAGCAAAAATGGCGAGCGGATGTTTTCTAGACGTTGGTAGTGAGAAATTGTTTCAGATCTGAAGTTGTGTTGCTTCTAGGTTTCAGTAGTTCGTCCCCAATAGTTCAGATCTATTCCTATTTGTGCTTAAGCTAGGGTTTAAGAGTAGTTTTACTCGATGTAAAGTGTGGTTTGATGCAATTGTTTCTCAACGCTTCTTCGAATTCGTATTCCTTAATCAGAAACTGTGATTTGCGATCAGCTGTTGATGTATTCAGGACGATCTGTGAATTCGATTTCTGATCTGCAGGTTTAGGAAATGGATACCTTCTTGTTTACCTCTGAATCTGTGAACGAAGGGCACCCTGACAAGCTCTGCGACCAGATTTCCGATGCCGTCCTCGACGCCTGCCTCGAGCAAGATCCAGACAGCAAAGTCGCCTGCGAGACTTGCACCAAGACCAACATGGTTATGGTGTTCGGAGAGATCACGACCAAGGCGAATGTGGACTATGAGAAGATCGTCCGGGACACCTGCCGTAACATCGGATTTACATCTGACGATGTTGGTCTCGACGCCGACAAGTGCAAGGTTCTCGTTAACATCGAGCAGCAGAGTCCGGACATCGCGCAGGGCGTGCACGGGCATCTCACAAAGCGTCCGGAGGAGATCGGTGCCGGCGATCAAGGGCACATGTTTGGTTATGCGACCGACGAGACTCCTGAGTACATGCCGCTCAGCCATGTGCTCGCTACCAAATTGGGTGCTCGTTTGACCGAGGTTCGCAAGAACGGGACGTGCCCGTGGTTGAGGCCCGACGGAAAGACCCAAGTCACCGTCGAGTACTGCAACGACAATGGCGCGATGGTTCCAATCAGAGTCCACACTGTTCTCATCTCGACCCAGCATGACGAGACGGTTACAAACGATGAGATCGCCAAGGATCTTAAGGAGCACGTCATCAAGCCTGTCATCCCGGAGAAGTACCTAGACGAGAAAACCATCTTCCACCTCAATCCTTCTGGCCGATTCGTTATTGGTGGTCCGCACGGCGACGCGGGTCTCACCGGCCGCAAGATCATCATCGACACCTATGGCGGTTGGGGCGCGCACGGTGGCGGAGCTTTCTCTGGGAAGGACCCGACTAAGGTCGACAGGAGCGGTGCCTACATTGTCCGACAGGCTGCCAAGAGCATCGTCGCCAATGGCCTCGCTCGCAGGTGCATAGTCCAAGTGTCGTACGCAATCGGTGTTCCTGAACCGCTTTCGGTCTTTGTTGACACCTACGGAACTGGGAAGATCTCTGACAAGGAGATCTTGCAGCTGGTGAAGGAGAACTTCGATTTCAGGCCGGGAATGATCTCGATCAACTTGGACTTGAAGAGGGGCAACAATGGGAGGTTCTTGAAGACGGCTGCGTACGGGCACTTTGGAAGAGACGACGCCGATTTCACTTGGGAAGTTGTGAAGCCGCTGAAATGGGAGAAGCCACAGAGCTAAGCATCATCTTCGGTATGGATTGGTTCGTTGGTAATGGTACCTATGCTTTTCTTGGTTTTGTTTTTTATGTTTAATTTGGGGTTTGTTGGTTTTCTTTATTTGTCTTAAAAACTTTTGTGTCGACTTGTTGGTAAGAAGACAGTCTTTGGAGGATAGGTGAAAAAACATGGATGGAAATTCCGTGATGGTGTCTGTCTATTGTCTCTGTCTTGTTTTGTTTTGACTTGTGTTATCAATATGACAAACTACTGCTTTCTTTTACTACATTGAGGTTTGTCATGTCTTTGAATAGGTATATATTTTAAATTTGATGATGATTGCTAAGTTGTTGATCTGATAAGAAATCAAGGGGTGCTTTGCAGCCAGCAGTTGTAACAAAATGCATTCTTACAAAAACATTAGCCAATTAAATATATATATATATCTAACAATACATCCTTCCTTTTACTAAAGGCATAATTTCTTGCATATTCTCTGAATTATTCTTAAAGATTTTATTACACCCTCTTTGCTTACGCTCCAATCTCTACCTTCCCTTCCCTTCATGGATAGTTGCAATCACCATATGCTGCATCAACACAAAATATATATTGTCAGTTATACAAATTAAATCGTTCGTTTGCGCGCATGTATATATATATAGAGAGAGAATACATGGATCGTTTGGGGTTCGAATGCCGACGGTCTTATCACACTCCGCAAACTTTTTGTAGTATAAATTGAGAGCATAGTTCGCGTGGCTAAATACAGTATCGGGAGTGAAGCATGCGCCGCCGGCCTGAATGGGCGCGCAATCAATTTTACCGCAAGCAAAGTCTAGAAAAGCTTGCAGTTTATTAGTCGAAGCGGCCCGTTGTGCTACGCACCAAAACAAACCCTGTATGTATCGAAAAAAATTTATTAAACGGTAAAAAATCGATATAAATAATTTTTAACTTTAAGGGAGTAAGTGACCTGTTTTTGATGATCTTGGTGAAGGGAGTTTGCAACCCCTAGAAGACAGCAAAGAAGCAACAAACAAACACTGTATTTCTTCATTGTATTTCAATAATTTGACAAATATATTGCTTATTGAGTAAATTTGTGTGTATACAGATATATACATACATACATATATATATATATATTGGAGTATTTGCTGATCAACAAAAATGGCCTACAAAATTAATGCTGAATTACTTCCCCAATCACTGGGTAATGAATGATGGAAAAAATAACTTAGTGATAAAATTTTCTATTTTTTTTAATTGTCTAATCGATTTGCAAGGATTGTTGTAAATATTGAATTCCATTTTCACTATAATTTTGAAGCACTTTTCCAATAAATAATTGGAGGCCTGGTTTCTTATTTATTTTTTTATTTTCTAGTCAATGAATTAAATTTTTGGACTAGAGTTGTCATTTGTCAACCATACAATTTTAAATTTTATATAGTGAATATAAATATAATAATATTATTTATACAAAAATTCAACCATAATATATATTTAATCAATGTAGTGATTAACCTTAATGGGCATTTTATTTCATAAAATTACTATTATTCATTTAATAAGTTAATTATATTAAATGATCGGTCACACGTTCATTGAAAACGGGTAACGATGAGGCAGAGGCTGGCAATCAATACGGCGTCGTATTTGCATCCTCCCCCGACGACCGACGCGTTTGCCCAATTCCATTTCTCAACTGTCCGTCGGAGAAGAAAGTTAAAATGGAAACCAATACGGGGAACGAGGATGGTTGGGTTTGGAATTCTGGGTCATGTTTCCACCAAGATTGAATCACAATAATTCATATTAACAGGATCGATTATTTCTGTGATCCTTTCAGGTTTGTTTCTCTTTGTTTGATTGAATTATTGTATAGGTTTTATGCTCAAAATACCAATGTTTCTGTTTATGTTTTTGCCATATGCTTCTCGTTAATTCAACGATAAAATGCGACCTCAATTTTTATGTTGGTTGCATCTTCTGGTTTATGTATTTCAGGATTTAATTGTATTCTCGGAACATTTGTAATGTACGTTGTTGTTTTCATGTAATTGATTAATGTTGAATGCTTTCGATTGATTCTGTTTCCGTGGAGCAGCATGCTGTTGATACATTTTCGATTAATTCGTTTTGGCTGTGTATTTGACCTGTTGTGTTTCTTGTGGATTTTGGCTGTGTATTTGACCTGTTGTGTTTCTTGTGGACTAAAAAACCTTGTTGAAGAAATTGGAAGTCTTTTTTTATATATTCTGGTGCTGAGGGGTTTCATTCTTTTGTGATGTTGTAGGATGGAAACCAAAACAACGGAAGAGAATGAGGAAAGGCCTGCAGCATTGCCGAAAGTTGATCGATTTGGATTTGTGAAGATGGACAATAACTATCTTGATCGATTTGCAAGCAGCATGTCTGCCTCAGAATTTGAGAGGTGTGGTACTCTACGAAAAGTATAGTTTTTTCTAATTAAACTTACAATTGCATCCTCCTCAGTTTAACTGTAGTTTCTTTGTCAATATTTTGTGTTCATTAAAGACCTATTTACTTTATTTGATTGAAATGGAAATTTGAATGCTTATTATTCTGTAGCTTCTGAGTCGGAGTACTTCATGGTTCTAAATTAATGGTTAGTTGGATTTACCCTAATCAGCTGAGTGCACAGCTAAGTCTGGAAAGTTATGCAAAATTGTAGTTCATTTAGAAGCTTGAGAATGACTCATGTTCATACCAAATTTTATTGTAAATTATCTTGGCATCTGATCGAGGATAGATTTAATGGTGGTATGCTTAGGAAGAAGTTTTTTACACTTCAAAAAGAGTATTTGGCAACACATTTTGAATTCGGAGAACCTTCTCCTTTGTGCTCTTGCCAGAATAAATGGTTGGTTTCCATATAACATGCTTTTTGAAATTCACATCACTTTTTTGGCCATCCAATTTTTAGGGACGAAAGAAGAATTAGAAAATGGAGAAGGATGATAGGGGTTGGGGGAAGTAATTGGATGCATTATGTTAGGAGAAAACCTCATGTTGTGAAAAGGAGAATAAGGAAAGGAATTCCAGATTGTCTACGAGGATTGGTTTGGCAACTACTTTCTGGCAGTAGGGACCTCCTTCTCTTGAATCCAGGTGTTTATGAGGTAAATAAGGGTTACCACTTTCTATGACAGACTCACCACCATGGCACCATTTACATATTTGACCCACAATTCATCTTGCCAGAAGTAAATGTCTATTGCACACGAAAACATACTTGGCCTTTCTCTGGAGTCAGTTATTTCTTGACTGATTATACTTTATGAAGAATAATATATGATTACTTGTTTTCAGTTGGTTCTTCCCCTCCAAGTCTTACAGAACTTGATGATGTAGATTTTGATTGAGCAAATACGCCCAGTACTGGTGGTTTTTCCATGACTCCATTGAAAGACATAAAAAATTATAAGAGATGTTGCTTCTTCGAATTGAGAATGTGTCCCGGGAATAGTTATAGAACTACAATTTGTTTTTATTTCATTTTTCTAGTGAGTGGTGTAGCTCTGCTTATAAGAATAAGAAAGAAATTTTGTTTGTTGATAGTTCAACTAAAATGATACATTGCCAATCTGACACTCTCAAGTGCAATACATGTTAGCTTTTGTGCATCTGAACTTTAATTATATCATATTTTAACATCTTTTAGTCTTGACATACCACTTCCCGTGGTATCATCCTCTAGTTGGAGTGTATCCTCTGCGTTTTAGTATCCACACAGCTACAAATTTCTATTTTCTATCTAAATGTGGTAAAGATGCTATCATGCTGTGAAGTGAAACTTGTACATTTCACCTAGAACTCTAATCCGAGCACTGAACAATTTGTGTACTATAGTTTTTATTCTATATTGTGTGCCTATGGTTATTTTTTATTGTGTGGAAGAGAAGCATAATTGTGACCTAACTGCCAAATCAAGTGTGAGTTTTGATGTGACTGCTAGCATACTGTACATCTTTTGACGAGATACAAAGCCCCGTGATAGAAGCCTTATATAACAATTTAAAACTATATATAATATGTATCTGGTTTAATTTATAGAGAAATATAATTTAAGTCCTTGTATATGATGAGCTTGAATTACTTATAGTTTAATGTTTTTGCCTTTTCCTTAATCCTCATATGCTCCATGAAATGCAAAATCCATGGGATTAATTCAAAGGAATTCAATTTAACCGTCACATTCTACTCTTATGTATGGTTTTTGCATCTGTCGAATATTAATCAAAGTCATTATCTTGTTTGGCAGCAATTAGTCATGTATGAGACGTCTGCTTCTGAGCTGGACATTATTCGAGATATTTCTCGTACATTTCCTTCACATATTTTCTTCCAGCAGAGACATGGCCAAGGTCAAACGTCCCTCTACAATGTTCTGAAAGCCTACTCAGTTTTTGACAGAAATGTCGGATATGTGCAGGTTTATATGCTATCAGAGTTGTCAATCATCTACTCAGCTCTAGTTTTCTCAACCGTTTGTTCACATCGAGATAATTTTGGTTGCAGGGTATGGGATTTGTTGCTGGTCTATTGCTTCTTTATATGAGTGAGGAGGATGCATTTTGGTTATTGGTAGCACTGATGAAAGGAGCTGTCCATACCCCTATGGAAGGGCTTTACCTGGTACAAGTTTATCTATGGCTTCTCCCATAAGGATGAATGTGGGGCGACGTGTTAAAATCAAATAACCATCTCTAGCTTTTTAAAGGTTTCTCTAATATTTAGTTTAGAGCACAATGATGTTTAGACAATCGTTTATAGCGTCTAAAAGGCTACTACCTGTATAATAATTCTGTAGATTTTGCAATTTGACATGCTCCTGTTAATAATAACAATTTGTTATCTTTAGATCATAATATGAGCATGCCCCATTTGCTAGCACTGTTTTGTTCAAAGTTTATTTTATCTTGAGATGAACATGGTCATTCAGTACAATAGCATGTATGCAATTCAGGCAATGCAATAAATGTTACTATGTTCGAATGCCATTGCCCCTTACCTTAGCTCTTATGTTCTTTCCGTATTAATCTTAAGGCAATAGAAAATTCGTGCTTTTGGTGCAGGCAGAGTTGCCCCTTGTTCAACAATATCTTTTCCAGTTAGACCATTTGGTTAAAGATTACATGCCGAAGTTGGGAGAGCAATTTACTCAAGAAATGATAAACCCGAGCATGTACGCTAGCCAGTGGTTCATAACAGTTTTTTCTTACTCAGTCCCGTTCAATTTAGCCCTCAGGATCTGGGACGTCTTTCTTTTTCAGGTTGAAATTCATTGTTCTTTAAGAATTTACGAGTAAACTAATTTTTAGATCATTCCACGTTTCTGAACCATTGTAGGTTCTTTCTTACAGGGCGTTAAAATCATATTTAAAGTTGGTTTAGCTCTACTGAAGTATTGCCATGATGATCTGGTAAAATTATAAGAACACTCATAGTGATCGATCAATCTCTTATTTCCTTCCATCGCATTCTAATCTCATACTTTTTACATTTATAGGTAAAGCTACCTTTCGAGAAACTTATTTATGCATTGTGTAACTTTCCTAAGGATGCCATGAATCCCGATGTGCTACTACCAATAGCTCACTCAATTAAGGTTTGATCTTCTTGCGTGCACAGCTTGCGATCTGAATGTTATATATGTACCTGCTTTCTGAATTTTCCCATCGATGGACATCTTTCAGGTGTCGAAACGGCTGAAGGAGTTGAAGGAGATTTACGAGAAACAGAATGGAAAGTTGTCCGAGAGAATTCATGCTCAGAGGCGACAACAACTAACTCAAACGACGCCTTGCCTGTGAAAAACTATCGGATTCGGATTCTTTTATTTGTTGCTGCCCTTCATCAGACAACACCTCGATTTTCTTGAGGAGATATTTTTTAGATGCATTGTCCAGATCCGGCGAAAGATGATGGTCGCTCCGGAGAAAGAACTTCCACGTCGACGCGATGCGCGAAAAAAACACAGGGAGTGTGAACATATATACTTGTAATAGAAATGCAACAGTATATATATCTATACAAATGCACCCTATTTGTCTTACGTTGTTCACAGCAGACCACATTTTTCATTACACAACGATCCATCTATATAAAACCATCATACAAGAATCACGAAAACAAGAAAGGTGAAGAGTCGCGAGAAATCGTTTTAGTAAAAAAAATCATTTCAAAAATAGTGACACATCGATACCATGCGCAGTCGTTACTCCTACATAGCGCGACGAATTTGAGATCACACGGCGTATTCGATTATTCTCGGTTTTTCCTGATGCTTTCCGACCTTGGATCTTGGTTGTCGCTTTTATCAGTGTCGTAGTTGTCTGGATGGGACTGTGCTTCGACGCCACTCGCTCGGGTCTTTCTGTTCCTTCGATCCTAGTACAAGAAAACCAAATTCATCGATCAGATCGGATATCGGTTAATAGTAGAGTTTGCATAGTCGGATGGATATGGAAAACCGAAAGCAACCTCTCTTGGTATGGGGTACTCCTCTGATTCCAGCATTCGAACAACCTGGCTCATCCTCGGCCTCTTGTCAGAATCCGGATCGACACATCTCAAGGCAGTCAAGAGAGCCCTTTTGAGCGCTCTTGTCGATGGCTTTGTGTCGATGTTTGGATCCACAACCTCCTCCGATCGCCTACTTCCGACCATCATTTTCAGCCAATCTACGAGATTAACCTGAAACACAACAAAGTTGTCGTCAATGTTGTTGTTACAATATTGAATATAAACATTCAGCATAGAAAAATCGATAATATTACTTACCTCTGCCGGAGGGCGTCCATAGTCCACCGGATCCCTTCCGGTGATCGCTTCTAGTAGTAAAACCCCGAAGCTGTAAACGTCGCTTTTTTCGTTTAAAAGACCGGTGTTGGCGTATTCAGGAGCTACGTACCTACAAAAAACATACGGCAAGTGAACAAATTGTAAAAAAAATAAAAAATGCCGCGGCGCGCCATTAATCAGAGCATCCGAAAGAAGCCCCCAAAAGTTGCTAGACATAAACTAACCCGAACGTTCCCATGACCCGGGTCGCTATGCAACTTTTCCCCGCGCCGAGCATCTTCGCGAGACCAAAATCAGAGACCTTAGCGTTGAAGTCATTGTCGATGAGAATGTTACTCGACTTTATGTCCCGATGCACCACTTTCGGTTCAATTGCTTCGTGCAGGTAGGCAAGACTACAAAACCGGGAATTCGATTAACGCTACAATCAAGAATTAACGAACAAGAGAAAAAAAAAAAAAAAAAAAAAAAAAACTTACGCTTTAGCCGTGCTGAGAAGAACTTTCATCCTGGCCTCCCATGTAAGAAAACCGTGGTGTCGCATCGCCCCGTGAAGCCACTGTTCTAAATTACCGTTGTTAACATACTCGTAGACCAACATCCTGAAACATTATCGAACGATCGCAATAACTCAAAAAACTCGAGCATTTTATTACCAAATCACAAGGCGTTAAAGTACCTATGAGTTCCTTCGACGCAATACCCCAAAAGCCGAACCAAATTTTTATGACGAACGTGTCCAATGGCGTCAACCTCCACTCTAAACTCCTTCTCCGCTTGACCTCTACGACGCAAAAAAACAAAACAACACAACAAATTAAACTAAACTAAAGCTACAAAATGCAATTCCATCGACATTAAAAAGAACCAAAGTCGCGGCCGTAAATTTCAAACTCACAAGTTATTGAGGAGCTTTTTAACAGCCACGGGAGTGCCGTTAATAAGCTGTCCTCGATACACAACTCCATATCCACCCTCTCCAAGAACATTATCCTTCGAGAATCTTTTTGTTGCAAGCTCGAGGTCTCTTAAGGTAAACCAATGTCCCCAACCCAACTGTGAAAACTCCGGCAGCCCACACAATGGCGAAGGGTGAGTAATCGGATGCGACGAAGATGGAACAAACGTCCCGGAGCTTCCCTCATCTCCCGACTGCGATCCACAATAGTCTTTTTCGATAATTCGATTGAATGAATCCGATTGGCTGCCGGCATTGTCGCCATTTTTCACATTGTCTGATTCTTTCTCATCATGAATGCCGCCAGTAAGATTCTTATCGTCAAACCGGCCGCCGGCGGCGGCGGAGACATGATCTATGCTTACTTCCTTAATTTCTTTGGAAATTGCTGGGATTTGTGTTAGGGGAAGCTTTCTTTCTTGAGCCCTTTTCCTCAATTTCTTTTGTGAAATGAGATAAAATGTCAAGACAAAGAGGATAACCACAATCAATAATCCCACAAAAATTCCGACAAGTTCCCACACTTTGAGCCCCAATCCTACGTTCTTACTGAGCTGGGCGTTAAGATCAGAAGCCATGGAATTAACTAACACTATGTCGAGAAATCTGCAGAAATCGTTTCAATATAAGACCTCAATTTTGGGCAACAATGGAAAACAACTCGACAGTCCAACTCCAAACTCAATTGGCCTAATCGAAGCAGAAATGTATAATTAGAGCATCAAGACAAGGGAAAGTGGAAGTCAATAACAACAGAATGTAAGATCCAGACAAACAACAAAAGCATATTTAGAAATGCCTTAGATAAAGGTCATACCTTTTCTTTTTTTTTTTTTGTTCTAACAGAAGGAGCCTTTCAAAACCCAGATCATGAATGCCCACTTTCCATACACCATTTTCATCAGCAGATCTCTCTCTCTCTCTCTCCCTCAAAATCAAAACCAAAACCCTAAATCTGATAAGATTTTTTTCGAAACAGTTCCCCAGAAAACAACAAGAAAAGGAGTGTGGTTGCAGAGACAATACAGGTACATAAGAATGCTGGGAATTGGCGGTGCCGGCGACGATGAATCAGGACAAATTTTGCAATTCTGGTGATGAATAATAATAATATTAATCACAATAATAGGATTGACAATTGGAAATAATTATAGAGAGAGAAAGGGAGAGAGAAGGAAAAGTGGAGGCATCCGTGTTAGGTAATGAGAAGAGGGAATGGGTTAATAAGAAGAGCTGCTTTCTGCGAAGAAGACATTCTAACAACAAATTAAGAAAACACCTTTTTCTTTAATTAATTAAACTCCATTAACTATTAATCATTAAAATCAACTCAACTCCACTGTCAAATCTAAACCCAGGATTTTCCTGATCGAAAAATAGCCGTTGCGTGCCGCTGCTAATAACTTGTGGGATTTTTGTTGTTGTTTTCTTTGGATACGTACGTTGAGATTTTAAGTGGGAAAGTTTTATTTTTTCATTTTTGGCATAAATACAAATTTGCAGTAAAGAATTGAAATAATAAATAAATGGGTAATAATATTGCAAAACGATAAGAGTGAAGAGTCTGCTGTCGATTACCTAAACAATTAATTACTTCATCTTTAGCAAACAAACGCGTCTCCGCGGCAGAAAACAACTTATGTAATAAAATATTGGTCTAGGATATCTATTTTAGTAAAATAATAATAATAATAAAAAAATAAAATTATTATTAATTTTCAAATAAACCGACTCAAAGTATTGCTGCTCACTATGCTATAAAATTAATTTATTTGAATAGTAAAATCGATATAATTATCGGAACACAAATAAAATAATTATATTTTTTTAAAAAATATATCATATCAAAATACTATTTAAATTAAATTTTTAAATCAAAATTTCAAATTCAAACCCATCATCCCGAATAAACTAGCCCAGTCTAGAAATTTTCTCGCAAAAAATAAAATAAAACAGTGGTTGTAAATATAGGAGGCAGTTGTAATTCATTATTTAATTAATCTATTTAGTACCCATTATAAATCGATTTTCTACAAATGATTATTTTTGTTTCTACTACTTAATTTTTAAAAATTAAATATTTCACCAAAATGAGAATTGCCGTAATCAACTACATAAGTGAACATCCCATGCAAATGAATACAACCAGGACAGAACTACACTAGGGTTTGAGGTAAATTGACTCCCCAAGCCAAATTTTTTATGATTTTTTTTATATTAAAAATATTAATTTTTATGTATTTATATACAATTTGCACACTCCAAAACTATCTAAATTTATATACTCGTCCGTCCCAAAAAGAAGTATCCATTTGTTTTTTCACGTAATTTTAGAAATATTAGTATTATATTGAGATATAGTAGAAATAAAATAGAAATGACTAAAATAACCTTGTTAGTATGTGTGATATAAAGGTAATGACATTTGTGTAATATATTGTAAGTTGTAAGGGTATTTGTAATGTTAGGTAGATAATACAATTACTAATAAAGGAAATGGATACTTGGGACGGACTAAAATAGAAAAATGGATATTTTGTTACGAGACAGAGGGAGTATAATTCTATCATTATTATTTATTTAAATTTATTAGTTAAATATTGAATAAATTATAATATTTTACCCCCCGAAATTTAGATGCTAGTTTCGTCACTCAATACAACCACATGTTTTTTTTTTTAAATAAAGAGTAATTTAGGGTTAAACCTTTCATCTAGAACATATATATTGAAATAATGTTGAAAATACGGAGTTTAAGTGTTGAGTTGTCTTTACAACATAATAGAAGTATTTCTTTTCTTTTTTTATTAATTTGTGTTACGTTTTAATACAATAATTAATATTAAAAAATCAGCGCACAAAAAATAAATCGGACCCTTATAGCCGAATAAAGATAGTAATTTTTTATAAATATTATTAAAAGTATATTATTGTTGATGTAATTTTTCAACAAAAATAAAGTAAAATTCAAAGATATGAAAAATATCCTTAAACTTGATTAATTAGTGCCTGAGATTAGGAATCTCTAAACACTGTAACGTACAGAAAATAAACTGGAAAATAAAAGACTGAAATTTAAAGTGGTGATCCCCAAATCTGACTTTGCTTTGTTGAAGTTGATTGAAGATATCTTGCCAAATGATGATCCAAACCTTTAAATATTCTCTGGGGAACCGTACTTAAAACCGTCACCCGAACGGTTACAACGTCTCCTTTCCAACCGTCTTCCAACCCTTTTCATGCTGACACGTGTCCTCAGCAGACCAACATTATCCTTATATTTCACTCTTTGAGCCGACCTCAGACCTTCCGCTCTTTTGGCCCGACTTCGTCCTTCACCCGACCTGCTTCTTCGCCCGACCTCACTTGGGCCGAACTCCGCATCAGCCGCCCTCCGTCTTTGATCGAAGACCTCTGCATCTGGCCGTACCTCTTCCTTGCCCGACCTTCCTCTTAACAGACCTCTGCGTCTGCCCGACTTCGGTCTGGATTTGGATCAATTCTTGAGATCTTACCTTTCTTCCTTTTCCCGACCTGAAAGCCTCCCGACCTGCGGACTTCCCGTCCTGATGACTTTCCGTCTTGAGGCCCTACCGACCTGAAGACCTTCCGTCCTGATGACTTTCCGTCTTGAGGACCTCCCGACCTGAAGACCTTCCGACCTGAGGTCTTTCCATCTTGAGGACCTCCCGACCTGAAAACCTTCCGACTTGAGGTCTTTCCGTCTTGAGGACCTACCGACCTGAGATCCTTCCGACCTGATGACTTTCCGTCTTGAGGACCCCCCGACCTGAAAACCTTCCGACCTGAGGTCTTTCCATCTTGAGGACCTCCCGACCTGAAGACCTTCCGACCTGAGGTCTTTCCATCTTGAGGACCTCCCGACCTGAAGACCTTCCGACTTGAGGTCTTTCCGTCTTGAGGACCTACCGACCTGAGATCCTTCCGACCTGAGGACCTTCCGTCTTGAGGACCTTCCGTCTTGAGGACCTTCCGCCTTGTATTTTCCTTAGAAATAAATCTATTTTCCTTGATTTCCTCACGGTGTCCTTCAGCCAGTTCAATCAACCCCATTGTTAGGCCCATTCTTCTTTTTACCTTGGGCTTTTAACCTAATTCTAAATTTCGTACGTAACAACTTGCCCGCCGCCAAGGGACTTTCAAACGCCATTTAGCAATCAATGTTTGGAAGTTCATAAATCACCACCCTCGTGAAAAACTCCTTTAGCAACTGCACCAGTTACTGCAACACTCCTGATTAACTTCCTTCTCCGCACTACAAGCTTTTGCGAATCACAATCCCAAAACACTCTAACCATGGCGAATCAATACATTCCTGCCCTTCCCTTCGACGGAACCCTCCCGGAGGGCCCATTTTCAGCCTCGAAAGTACTGACTCCGACGATCCGTCCATATTGCACTACTCCTGAAGATTCAAATCGGATGAGGGAAATCTTGGAATCCCGAAATTCCTTGGCTATCAACAGCCCTAACTACCAAGCAGTTCGCATCCGAGACAGCATCAAAACCCATCTCACAGACCCAAAAGATCCTTACCGCGCTTGGTATCGACGGGTAGCAGAACACTTCCAGACCCAATGGCGTTCCCAAAAGATCGACCAAGCAATATTACTGTCCACCATGCCTATCAACCTGCATGAGAAGGTGTTGTTGGCCATGTCTGCCTTCTGGAATGCGGAAAATGGGACTTTCCTCTTCCCATCAGGCCCCTTTGGCCCAACTCTTATGGACGTTGCAATGATTGCGCATCTCCCAGTCGTGGGTGAAGACCCTGTAATGGGAACCCTAGATGGGCAGGAGCCATCAGAAGACCATCCAGGGTGGTCTTTACAAGGTGTGAAGGAATGGGGTTGGACAAAGTTCGCAACCGACCAGCAAGGGGCTCCAGGGACCCCTGTAACCGACCGGGAGCATACTGCATTTATCCTTTTTTGGCTTTGTAGGTACGTCATTGTTTCCCCTTCCAAATGTGTTCTTCCTTCTCATCTTGACCTAGCCATTCATATCGCGTCAGGTCGGTTTTTCTCTCTTGGCACCCTGTTTTTAGCCAATCTGTTTGAAGGACTCACTAGAGTTAGCCTTCGCTTAACAGATAATGATAATAGGAAATTAGACACTGCCGCGTCGGGTCCTTTTTGGTTTTTAGAACTCTGGTTCCGACTCTACTTCCCCAACGCGTTTAACTTAGGATCTCCACCCACTATGCCAACAGCTGAAAAACATTTGGGACTAGCCCTTAACCGACTCTGCTCAGGACGCAATAACCTCCAATCTTCCGATCCAATAATAATTGCAGTTTTAACAGATACCCGCAGTAACTCTCGCTTTTCTATGTATAAAAAATATGCGGGCTATGCTCCCAACCATTTTTGGCCTTTTCCAGTACCAAATCCGCTTCCAACTCCTGAGCCTTGTCCTCATTCCACTTATCCTTTTGCCTGGGACGTTGCCCTCAAACCCAGGTCTCTTTTCAGTAGCAAAAAACTTGATAAAAAAGGGCAGAAAACTTTTTACACCTTTAATTATGAACCTCAATTCCTGGCGCGCCAGTTCGGCTGTTGCCAAGGTATCCCTGGACCCGTCGCGTGTCCGCAAATAATTTTTCAAAGCCCTGACCGACGAGTCCTACCTAATTCAATCCCTTCTTATATATCCCAGCTCACCACGTACATAATTTCCAATTCTTATATTCCTTTCCGCTCCAACCCTGAGACTGTAGATACCTTCAATGAATGGTGGTCGGTTGTATGGCCCCTGATTTCCCCTGATGAAGGTCGGTTGCTGAACATACTCCTTCCACCCCAAGGATTGGTTCTAGGGGCGGCTAGACATACTAGCACTCAACAACAAGCAGCCGACCCGGGGACCGGGTCTATTGTTCCAACGCGAAAAAGGAAGGCGTCTCGGCTGCCAACACCCCCGACCTCTGGGGCCGACCAGCAAGCACCAGCGAACCTTGGAACTACAAAAACATCAGCAAGGATCCGACCCCGAATAGGTAATTTTTCTTAAAACCGTGAACCAATTCACTGTATCTTAACTTTGATTTCACTTATCATTCACCAGAACCGACCTTGACAGCACCGACCACACAACCGACGCCAGCCCCAGCCGACCAACCTTTGGTCCCGACTGAGGCAGTTCCTCTTCAAACCCCTACTCCACTTCTCACTTTGCCAATGAGCAGTCGGGCA